ATAGTTCCCTAACTTGTCTAGCTCCATGCGTTTTTCACTTAGTGCTCTTTATCGTCGCTGAAAAGATTATTTTCATCCTTTAGATAATTTCTAACGAATTATTTTCATCTGAGTTTTGTGCTTTGTTTTCGTTTTTTGATTGATGATTAAACTTAATATTCATTTGAAGATCACGGATTATTTGTTTGTATTATTTATGACTCTGGAATTACTGGTGAAAATTCTAGCGAATGGACTTTTTTTTACTCCAAAAGCAGCGGTTCGAGATTTTGGAGGACTTATGACCATTTTCATATATGTTGTATGTTGATTTTTGCTTTTATCATCTTTAAAAATCGGCTATTTTTTGCGGCGAGGTGTACTGAAAGAATTTTTCTTTAAGAGTTTATGCCAGAAAATTTTTGCAGACCTCACTGGCATTCTTGACTTGCATGCCAAGGCATGTTGAAATCAATTCGTTCAATCAGCTACTGCTTATCTTTCGAGCTATGCGACCGCTGCGCATTTACACATTGGTCCCACATATTCGAAGAGTTGTGGTTGAACTTTTTCGTGGATTCCGGGAAATCTTACTGGTAACTTCTTATGAATTAGCACGTTGAAGCAAAAAAAACAAACAAGCTGATGAACTAGTGATATTTTCATCAACAAATTTCAGACGCTTCATAACGGTTGTTTATTGTAAACTTGTTTCTGGAAACCAGCATAGAAAACAATCTAGTCATCGGAATTAGAGCGAATGGCATGCATTACTTATTCAGACTTAAACGAGTTTTAAGATTCTAATAAGGAAATAATAGCAGTAGAAAAGTCGCTAAATCCATATGAGAGTCATCAAAAAAACCATTAAAAGTTCGTAACGCAGCATGAGCAAAGTAATCTATTTTTGTAAGGTTACAATATTGCTGGTGGTGATTATGTTCATATTTGCAAGCGTGGGCGTGCAGATTGTTGGCGGAAAATTGGCCGCATGTAACGATCCAGATGTGGGCGCTCGTGTATGTCTTTTTTCCAGTATTTGTCTGTTTCATAAACGAAAAACATACGGCAAGTTCGCGTGTGCATCTTATTTGTCCGAATAGTTCAGCTCAAAAAATGTGGAAACTGCAATTTTTTGAACTTAGCCGGAGGATATTTGAAATTTTAAGGCATTCACATTGCGCTGTGTCCGACTTCAAGTCTAGCTAAATTCGGGTCAGTAATGTAACAAAAGAATCGCTACAATTGACTAAAGAAACGCTACAACGCTACAGTTAGGCATTTCCGTAAAAAAGGGGAGAGGGAAAATTACCAAAATTGATGCTTGTTTGAGAAAGGGAAAGGGCTTTGCGGTAAATGGTGCTGATAAACCTGGGTGAACTTTTCCGTTCAGTATTGCCACTCATTGTTCTGCAAAATTTTTCTGGGAGTACCAGCAATATCCGTCGGTAGTCTCTATTTGTAAAATTAGCATACTACTGATGGTGAATCGCTGAGCGCCCCTGCCTTGAACACCAAGCTTCAGCAAAGCCAATGCAAAGGCTCGCGCAAATTCCATGCCTCAAATGCATCACTAAACGTTTACACAGCACATACGCAAGTAAGGCGTCAACCAATATGTGTAAAAATAAGGTATGAAAATAAGTTAAATCCAGTTAACAAAGTGCGCCAGGGTTTCCAGAGCGGTCATGCGTTTTTTCCGCTGAACTTCAAGCAGTCAGATTGTTAGCGATATGTATGGTTGTTGCTTTATCGTTTAACATGTGCTCCTATGTTGACAGTGTATTGATTTTTGTGCGTTTTTGCTGTGCAGCGCTATAGCGCTGCTACAGCCAGCAAAAACGCATACTGTCGAGAGGTTGTCTGTGTGTGTGTGTTCAGAAAGCGAGTGCATTTTGTCACCCACTTTCAACTCGGCAACCAGGAAAG